CAGAGATCTCAGTCCCACTTCCCTTTCTACACCCTTCAGATTCTGGATTAATTGGTCTCAGGTGTGTGCTGGGCATTGGAATTATTAGAAGATAATGAAGCAAATAGTAACAACAACAAGACAAACTCCCCAGATGATGCTAAAGTGCAGTCAGGGAAGAGATGCACATTTTCATGTATTTGTCAAAACATTACTTAGGTTTAAGGAATTGATTTTCATAACCATTAATATGTATTTTATTTTGCTATGTGAAATGCTGTGCATAGATTATTTGGTCTGATTTATCTGAATACAGACTTAAGTTATCCATGATAAATATAGATATTGTGCTTGGTGATATCTCTTCTACAATAATGGTTTGCTATAACTGCTTTTTTTTTATATGATAGTCACACACACACAGAGAGAGAGAGAGAGAGAGAGAGAGAGAGAGAGAGAGGCAGAGACACAGGCAGAGCGAGAAGCAGGCTCCATGCACTGGGAGCCTGATGTGGGATTCGATCCCGGGTCTCCAGGACCGCGCCCTGGGCCAAAGGCAGGCACTAAACCACTGCGCCACCCAGGGATCCCCTATAACTGCTTTGTAGGACAAAAGAATCAGTCAGACTTTACATAGGGGAAGCTGAACTGAGAGCATAAGTAGAAAAAAGGTGGTCAGATTTCATGTGTCATTAAATGATTCAAATCATTATTTAACAAAAATAATTAGTTCTTGGCAGATAATGATAGTTTTTCCTCAATATCCATTCTCCCTTCTTCTTTAATCATAGAACATCCAAATGCTAGCTGGGAACCTAATTTCCCAGGATAAAGATGAAATTCCCTAATCTCTTTCACAGCTGGTATGGCCATATAATTAAATTCTAGCCAAAGTGATGTGCACAGAGTGGTATAGGCATCTTCCAGTGAGGATCTTTAAAGGGAAGGAGAATACATTCCTGCCCTTTCCTCTTCCCTTTTGCCTACTTCTAGCTCATGTTGCTAGAGCTGAGGCTGCCATCTTGATCATGGGTCTCTGCCATGCGGTGAGAATGGCCGAGATCCCACTGATTGTGGAGCCCTCATACTTTATCTACCTGAGAAAGAATAAATTATTTCTTGCTTCAGCCACTGTTATTTTGTGTTTTCTATTTCCTTAAACTCAAACCAAATCCATTGCTCATCCTGAATTATAATTGGATGTGTCACTATTGATTAGGAGAGAAGCATAGTGAACAGAGAGTCTGATGATGTCTGTAACCATATTCTGAAAATATTAGGGACTATGAAAGCCCTAAGGTGCTGTTGATACTTTTTCAGAGTATGGATCTATTGATCCTTCATCCATTCTCTGGTCTGTTTCAATTATATTTTGGCTTCTCTAGTTGTCTTAATATTTCCCCTTTCCATTTTGATGAGTTCTAATCAAAGTTGGCAAAACCAAGAGGCAGAAGAGGTGATAAAACCTGCTAGCTTAAGTAGGTGAAATTGCTTCTTGAAGGCCTTGGATACTACTTCCTCAAAGGCCCACACCTGTCATACTGGTTCTAAGCACAGTGTGTCTCAAGAATAAAATAACTAATTGAATGGATTAGTACTGAAGATTAACACATTCTTTTTCTTTTTTTTTGGTATATATATTTTTTATTGGAGTTCAATTTGCCAACATATAGCATAACACTCAGTGCTCATCCCGACAAGTGTCCCTCTCAGTGCCTGTCACCCAGTCACCCCCACGCCCCACCCACCTCCCTTTCCACTATCCCTTGCTCGTTTCCCAGAGTTAGGTGTCTCTCATGTTCTGTCACCCTCACTGATATTTCCCACTCATTTTCATTTGGGGAATATAAAAAATAGTGAAAGAAAATAAAGGGGAAAGGAGAGAAAACAAATTATTTTTCAAACTAGATCTAGCATGCAAGTTCCTGAATGGGAATAAATACTGAGATTTTGGTCAGTGACATCAATGATTGCACAGTGGCTTTGATAAATTAAGAGCTGTGTATTAAAACCAAAGGTACCTATGTAGGGACCAACATCAAACTCAGCTAAAGGAGGGACACCTGAGTGGCTCAGTGGTTGAGCATGTGCCTTTGACTCAAGGCGTGGTCTCAGTCCAGGGGCGGAGTCCGGCATCAGGCTCCCTGCGAGGAGCCTGCTTCTCCCTCTGCCTATGTCTCTGCCTCTTTCTGGGTCTCTCATGAATAAATAAATAAAATCTAAAAAAAAAAAAAAACAAAAACAACTCAGCTAAAGGATATTGAAATTACCTTGCAACTCTATGGCCTGGATTGGTCAAATGATAATGCATCATTAGGTCAGAACCAGCTACTCACTGTCACTGCACAGAAATCAAATGGCTGTGATGTGGGCATGGAGACACTGCCAGTGTGAGAGAGGTCTCTCATGCCATTTGGGTAGGTATTCAAGTTATTTGCCCTACTCACCCCCACCAGTCATCACGGAGCTTAGTACATATCATATGCTCAATTGTATAGAAACACTAGATAAATTAATGGATTAGAGAAAATGTTAGTCTCAGAGTTTAGAAAAAGGTTGAAATCAACAGTGTCCAACAAGAACAAAAAATACATTAAGGATTAGGAAGAACAGGAAATTGAAAGGTTTCCCAGTTTGGAGAAAGGAAGTTTAAGACAGGATAATGGTTTCAAAGCATCTATTGATAGCAAGACCTAAGCAAAATACTATGAGTTAGGATGCACTGAAGACTTCTTGGCTTACACAGAATAAGGTAAATAGGAAGACTGAATATGGTGGAAGAAAAAAAATAAGAAAAGGATTTTAGTATGGATTGATTCTTGAAACTTAAAGTGATTAATCAAATCATTTTAACAACAAATGATTCATAGTATTTTGATTGACTCAAACATGTGGCTGAGGTAAACAGTTTATCACAGAGACTAGAGGACAGTGGAAACAATTTCACTGAGTTCACTAGCTATGTTTAGCTCAGTGTTACAAATACATGGGAAACTGCAAAATTCTTCTAATTTTTAGGTACTGAAAGTCAGACTAATGATTAATTAGATTGGGAATTTGTCTCTGTAGTAAAAGATGATCTTGACAATAGAGGGAAATAATGGAGTTTCTATTCTAAGAAACATTCTCCCCAAAGCAATCTTGCCTTTACTGGGACTGGGTAAGCAAATTTTGAAGGTATTCCCTTTAGATTCCTAAAGAATAGTGAACTCGTGAAAATGAAGAAATCTCAGTTTTAAACCCTCAAATAAGGAAGAGATAAGGGTAATAGGCTTGATGAAATGCAAACCCATCTACGGCACCTTCAATTTTATTTTACTGAAGGGAAGGGAAGGTTTTCTTTCCTGTGTCTACTACCCAGGATTACTACTCATTCTACTACTAGTACCAGAATTACTACTAATAATTCTTCCACAGGTGATGTCTCTCCCCCCACAAGGTTCCTGACAGAAATATACACAGAAGGGACTATAGCAAAGGAAATCAAAGTATCACTGCATTGCTAGCTGGGATTGGGGTGAAAAATTCAATGAAGAGAACTCTCTGGTAACCTAGATTGGAGCACAGAGAGAGAAGCAAAACCACCATATTTTCTTCTGCATCCAAGTGACAATCTAGATATGACTTTTCTTGTCAACCATATATATAGAGAACAAAATACATTGAGTCAATTACGTAAGTTCATATATATTTGACAGCTGATTTGGGGGCCACAATTTAGTTAGACTGCCACTCAGATCCTCTGCAAACTTTTGCCCCTAAATTTTATTTCCCTATATAATTGAAGACTATATATAATGACAACAAACTGATTTGTTTTTCAAAAGAGGCTGCCTGGGATCCCTGGGTGGCGCAGCGGTTTGGCGCCTGCCTTTGGCCCAGGGCGCGATCCTGGAGACCCGGGATCGAATCCCACGTCGGGCTCCCGGTGCATGGAGCCTGCTTCTCCCTCTGCCTATGTCTCTGCCTCTCTCTCTCTCTCTCTCTCTCTCTCTCTGTGACTATCATAAATAAATAAAAATTAAAAAAAAATAAATTCCTTAAAAAAAAAACAAAAAACAAAAGAGGCTGCCTTCAGCTCAGGGTGTGATCCTGGAGTCCCGGGATTGAGTCCCACATCAGGCTCCCTGCATGGAGCCTGCTTCTCCCTCTGCCTGCTTCTTTGCCTCTCTATCTCTCTGTATCTCTCATGAATAAATAAATAGAATCTGAGAAAAAAAAAAGATGTGAATTGATGAGTAACTATCTGGTGAATTTGTTTCACCTGAACAACTGAATGGACGACAACATCTTAGCACTTTTCTTTCCTTTTAAATCCAGATGATAGAAATCTTTCTCAGATCTAACTAAGCAAAGTCATAGACACTACTTTCTCCCTTCTTTTTTATAAAAATTCAAACTGTATAAGTCTTTCTCAGCTCATCATTATACATTACCCACATTGTCAGGCTATATGCAGAAACTTTCTTTCATAGATATTTCAAACTTATATGTTAAATATCATTTGGAAGACTTGCTTTCCTCATTGAAGAGTCTAAATTGTAGAATTTTCAAGTATGTTCTAAGCAACCAATTATTCCCATTCTTTACATCTTTTTTAAAGATCTTTAAAAAATGTATTTATTTATGTGAGACACACAGAGAGAGGCAGACATAGGCAGAGGGAGAAGCAGGCTCTCTGTGGAGAGCTTGATGCAGGACTCGATCTCAGGACCCTGGGATCATGACCTGAGCCAAAGGGAGATGCCCAACCACTGAGCCACCCAGGTGTCCCCCACTCTTTACATCTTAATATAGCTTTAGAATAAGCTGGGCAATTTTCTTCAGAGTCTACTTTACTAAAACATAAAAATATACCATCAAGCTTTATTAAAGATACAGAGATTTGAGGAATCCCTGGGTGGCTCAGTGGTTTAGTGCCTGCCTTTGGTCAAGGGTGTGATCCTGGAGTCCTGGGATCAAGTCCCACATCAGGATCCCCCCCCCTTTTTTTCCAAAATGCACCATTTTATTTTCCTCATGAGGCAGTCATACATTATAAACTTTAAGCACGTGACAGTCACATGATTTCTTCAGTAAGCCCAAGGACTTCCATGAGTTTTCCTGGAGCTTACAGCCAGAGTAGTAAAATATTAAAGCTTTCTCCACAGCCACACGTTCCTCTGATGTTTGGGTTATTGAAAACAAACTCACTGGATAATTTATCTTCAGCATAGTCCATTTCTGTTCCTAAAAGTGTTAGCTGCGCTTTCTTTTCGATGAACACTCTGACTCCATCTTGAACAACTTCTTCATCAGAATCTCCTTTTGTCTTTGTATATTCTAGAGTATAAGAAAGGCCATTACAACCTCTGGTTCGGACACTAACTTTGAGACCTACGTGTTCAGGTTTATCTTTAAGTAGCTGTTTTATCTTGTTTACTGCTGAAGGGGTCAGGGTGAGGGCGGCCCGGGTGGGCTGCAGCTTCCTCTTGCTCACAGCGCGGACAGTGCCCTGGACTAACAAAGCGACATCCTCGCTTCTTCCTCTGTGTCTCTGCCTCTCTCTCTCTCTGTGTGTGTCTCTCATGAATAAATAAATAAAATCTTTTTAAAAAATAAAGATACAGAGATTTAAGATTCATTAAAATTCATGGCACCTGGGTGGCTCTGTCAGCTAAACATCTGTCTGCCTTCAGCTCAGGTTATGATCCTGAGATCCTGGGACTGAGTCCCACATCAGGCTTCCTGCTCACTGGGGAGTCTACTTCTCCCTCTCCCTCTGCCTGTCCCTCCCCTTGCTTGTACCCTCTCTCTGTCAAATAAATAAATAAATAAATAAATAAATAAATAAATAAATAAATAAATAAATAAAATCTTAAAAAAATAAAATTCATAGTAGGCCATCAATAGCCTTAAAAATGGTTTAGGTGCATATTGCTCCCCTGTACTTAGACAATAATTGTGGGAATTTGAATGGTGACATTGTCATGTCAATGGAATCATAACTGGAAGTCTGTTAGAGATGATCTAGTTCAAGCTCTCATTCTATTTGTATATTAATTAAAAGTAATATTTATATTATTACATCATATTATAAAAGATTTAAGAAGCACAGAAAAGCATACAGAAGAAAACACCACAGAAGTCTCACTCCTCTGAGATGCATAAATATTTTTCATATTTTTTTCTATATCTCTCCCTTTACCCTCTGCTCACCTCCACATTTCCAAATCACAACCTGGAAAATTATTACACTTTCATTGGCAATGACGTGTTTTATCACATCTCTACCAATACAATTGGCATCATATTTGCAAATTTAATAGGTATGAGTAGTATTTCACAAGTGAACAAATATTTCTTTAATTATTGTTCATGATGTAATTACCCTGCCCAAGTGTTTAGCCAATGTAATCTTCTCTCTTATGAATTTCTGGTTTTGTCTGTTCTCTAGCTGTCTATTGGGATCTTAGTATTTTTGTAACTAAATTTGTGATTTATCATATATGTTGCATGTATTTTGCTAAACTTGAAAACATCTTAGTTGATGGTGTATTTTGTTGTATTGGCAATCGTGTCATCTTTCATTGTTTTTCTTTGGGTAATACTACTTAGCAATTCTCAATTTGTATTTTTTCACATTTTTGTATTCTTAAAAATTATCTTGTTAAATTCCAAACTTAAGAGTTTAATTGAAATTGTGTTTAACCTATATATCGAGGTGCAAGAAATTAATGTCCTCTGTCTACTCATCTAGCAACATGGACACTTCCGATGATTTCTTCAGATTTTCTTTTATATTGTTCAAAATATGTAGGAAGAAAAAGATACTTTGTCAACAAAGCATCTAGAGAAAATGTCAACAGTTTTAAATGCTTTTATAAAAACTACAAATTTTAGGGGTCCTTGGGTGGTGCAGTCAGTTAAGCATCTGACTCTTGGTTTTGGCTCAGTGCATGACCTCAAGGTCATGAAATTGAACCCTACACTGGGCAGGCTCCTTGCTCAGTGTGGAGTTTGACATTCTTCCTTTCCCTCTGGCCCTCCCCACCTCTCTCTCTCTCTCTTTCTCTCTCTCTCTCTCTCTCTCTAGCTTTCTCCCCCTCACGCTCCCTAAAATAAATAAATAAATCTTAAAAAAACCTACAAAATTTACTGCAAAGTTATTATTGGTATATTGAAAAAAATGATTTTTTGTGTATTTATTGTATGTATATCCACTTTGCTGAACTTTGCTGTGAATTAGGAGAGGTTTTTCAGCTTATTTATGTAGATTTTCTAGATTTACAGCTACATTAGTCATTAATATTGACAATATTGTCTCTTCCTAATTGTTGTCATCTGTTTTTAGGTTCATAGTAGCATCCAGAACAATGCTACAAAAGAGTGATGATTATACCCTTTCTTTAATTAGGTTGACTCTCATCGATGTGAGAATGGTAATGGCTTTTGGCATGAAACTGTTACTGTGTCTCATGTTTTTAATTCTTAGATTTGCTAAAGCTTATAAAATCAAGAATAATGACTAAATTTTAGTAAATATTTTTTTAACCCCAAATCGAGGCAATCACAAGGTGTCCCACATTTGAGGTTTTTTTCCCCCCACATTTGAGTTAATAACATATTTCAATGCTAAAACCTTTATTGAAGCATCCAGGCATTTTTTTCTTGATTTTAGTGAATTATAAATTTGCTAGTATTTCAGTTAGGACTTTCATGTATATGTACAGAAATGTATGAGGCTGATCTCTAGTTTCTGTTTTGTCATTATCAAACTTTGATGATTGGATTATAGTGGATTCATAAGATAAATTGCTCAGCTTATTTCCCCCCCTAGATATTGAAAGGGAATATAAAGGTGTAGAATGATCTAGCAGGTTAAAGGTTGAAGTAATTTGCAATGTGTCCAAGACATAATTGGAAGTGGTCTTTTCCCCATGCATTCATTGTTTATAGGTATATTTTCTTTTTCCTTAAATTGATTTTGGTTATTTTATGTTTTTTAAAGATTTATTTATTTGAGAGACAGAATGAAAGAGAGAGGGAGCACAAGCAGGAAGGCGAGGTAGAGCAGGGAGCCTGATGTAGTACTCCATCCCAAGACCCTGGAATCATGACCTGAGCTGAAGGCGGATGCTTACCTGACTAAGCCACCCAGGTGGCCCAATTTTGGCTATTTTATATTGCTCCAGAGCAGCTTCCATTTCTTTGAAATATATCAAATAATTAACATGAAATTACACAAATTATTCCATATTAAAAGTTACTTTAACTTTTTCTTTACTAATTTTGATTTTTTTCTTAATTCGGTATTTCTGTTAATTCTCTAAGAAGCAATCTCTGTATTAATATATATTAATATTAATTTTTCCTGAACTTATTTTTTAATTCTTTTCTGTTCACAAATGCATTATAGTCTGGTTAACGTAATTTTAATATTTTTAGTAACCATTTAAATTATATTAATTTTTATTTAAAAATATAACATCCTAAACTTTTAAATATTTTATAGCCTTCTCTTAATTTTATTTTACAATGTTTCTCTCTCTTTTTTTGTTTGTTGTTAAATATTTGAATAGTTTTTTAATCATGAAAGTTTTTGTATTACATGAAAAAATTAATTTATAATATCATAGTTTTAGTATATGTGCTGCCGAAGTGAGCACAACATCATAGTTTTACAATCAGATAATCTGGATCCTATAATTCATGACTTCATAACTATGCAATAGATGTTTTTGGCCAAGTTTAAGATCAGTTGCCAAATTCCTATTGATGAATTTTTAAAAAATATTTTAAAATTTATTTTAGAGAGAGAGCATGCAAGAAGCAGGGAGGAGGGGCAGAGGCAGAGGGAAAGAGAATCCGGACACCTCACACCGAGCCTGCCTCAGGGCTAGATCTCACAACCCTGAGATCATGACCTGAGCTGAAACCAAGAGTCAGATATTCAACTGGGTGAGCCACTTAGGTGGCCCTAATATAACATTTTTAAGTCACTAGTAAACTGATCTGCTTGATAAGTCTTTGTTTTCTGCTTCTCCTTTTTACATTCTTGTTTATCTTGTAGAACTGTTGAAATGTTAAATGAATTAATGGCATGGTTCCTGGCATATCATAAGATCTCAGGAAACATATAGAGGGGACAATGTATAGGAGTGGGTCACCATTAACTCTGAAGTCCAGCTCTCTGAGTTAAAATACTGGCTCTAATGTTATTTTGTCACTGAATGAATTATTACATTTTTCTAATCTTCAATTTCATTCCCTAAAAAATGGGAAAAATATTAGAATTACTTTATAGAATAGTTGTAAGGAATAATGAGAAAAAAAAAGCAAGTATGTATAGCACCTGGCATGGTGTGAATTAAATAAACATTAGGTATTTTTATTCTTTGCAGATTCTTGAATTTTCTTTTTTTGTTCTGTAGTAATTTGGAAAACAGGTGTGCATCCTGTTCTTAATGTCAGTAATGATTATCTTTTAAGTTTTTTTCAAAACACAATCTAATCTAAATTTTTCTAATTGTCAATGAACAGCAAGGGTAATAACTTCTTACTCTGACCTATGTAAAGTTAAACTCAGCATGCTTTCAAAAAACTTTTACATTTTTTTTACCATTTTATTAACAAATCTGAAATTTATTGATACCTATTATTAATAGTAGGCTATATGATTTTTTTATATTTTGCGAAAGATAATTTTAAAATTTTATATTAATTGTATCTCATTTACCAAAAACATCCTTAATATGTAATTGTTCAATTTTTTTCAGTGTTCATTCTCAGATTTTCTTTATGCTGTCCTGAATATTTTTGGCCCTTTAATTTTTATTAAATTCTTGATCATCTATAATATATGTTTTTAAGCAATCTATATGAAAGCTATTTTTTTTTCAGTTTCCTAGCATATTTGAAAAAATCTTTCCTTCCATTTGTAAATAAAATGAGCTAGTTTGATGTAGGAAATTCTCTGATTTCTTATCAAATTCTATAGACCTGGATCCATTTTCTTCTGGAATCTAGTCTGATGGAGGAGACATATGACGCTAATATGGTGTTTCTTCTTTTGCTAAAAACCAGGAATTTTGTTCTGGACCTTTGAAATCTAACACTCTTGTCAAGTTTTATATTCTCTTCCTGGAATTAAGTAAATCCTTTTGATCTACAGAAGTAGTTATTTTTTTCAACTCAGGGAATTTCTTTTTAATTTCTATAAAAAATAATATATTTTAGTTTCTTTGGCTCCCTTCACCACTTTCCCTCAGTTGTATCACTACTCCTAATCTTTTTATTTTTTTCCTTTGTATTCTAGGTAACTTTAGTTTATCCTTATGTAGGAGCTAAATATATATATAGATTCTTCTCTTTAAAGATGGCTGTCTTTGGATTTCAATTCTGCCTTTGCAGTTTTAGGGAAGGTCTTTTCTTATCTCAGATTAAATCTCAGCCTTTGTCTTCTTTTTGTGTTATCTTGGTCTCTTTTTAGGGCAGCCTATTCTATATGATTATTTTTTCAATGGAGTCTGATTTTTTGCT